AGAAAATAAGTGGTTATAGCTAAGCCCAATATGTCAAAGAAAGCATTCTCTGTTTCAACAGCAGTAGCTAACTATAACCTCAAACTGATTTGGGGTTTTACTTGAAACAAATGAGTTACAACATTATCATTCCATATTGGACGTTGTAACGCTCACTGTAGTACCAGTTATCCTATGCGTACGTGTGTATTCACGCACACGTGTACATTTGGTGTAAGGGTATCAACAGCAGTCACTTATATCATGCTGACAAAAGAAGGTCAGGGAAACGCGCATGGGCACAGCGTTCAGTCAACAAGAAAAGGAAGAACTGAGAGTATATCCTACATCTGTGTGGATACTCAGTCAGCTGATAATATGGTTTAGGGACCAGTCGTGAACTACCACTGTACATCAAATTACATTTTATACATTATCTGAAGCGTAATCCACAGTTCAACAAACCACAGGTAAGTTCTTTAGATTATCGATATAGTTGGCAGGGGATTAAGCATACACATCTTGTAGTGCGATCATTGGCAAGTATCTTATTCACTAGCATTTCTTACAAATTCAAGTAACTTTTATAAAGTGTTTATACATTGTCTTATATTATAACATTTTTGGTATCTTTTCATGCACAGTGTTTATATTAAAATACAAGATTGCGTTTTGTATAACATAACTGTTCTATTGAATTATAAATTAGCTGCACTATAGCAATATCTAATGACATAATGTCCCGTAGCAATCTGAAACCATTGAGCAAAATGAGCTTTGCATTCTTTTTCAAGATTCTATTCTGCCTTTTATTGCACAGTGTAAAGTGGTTGTATACTTGGTAATTGTTTCAGAATTGTTTACATTTTCTAAATAATCTGGCAATGTTTTATTGTCCGGGCGATTATGCTCTGCCTTTCCTAATTTACCATGAATTGCTTGAGGCTTAATATTTTATTTTTTTGTGATTATACACTATTTTAATTCTGATGAGTGATTTTAAGTTTTAAACGATTATTCTCATTGGTTTCCGGTAGTTTTGCAATAATCTATTCAAGAAGGTTGTTTGCAAAGTCCCCTCGAACTGCTGTTTCCCAATTGGTCCTTATTTTAAGTCCCCTCGAACTGCTGTTTTCCAAGTGGTCCTTATTTTAAGTTCCCTCGAACTGCTGTTTTCCAATTGGTCTTTCTTTTCAGTTAATAGAAGCCTTGTATTTTTTCCTTACTGTGTCTTAAGCGACAACTTTAAAGCCATATTACGAATATTACATATAATTAAGTAATAACTGAAAACGTTTGCTGTTATACCTGCATTTAGGTAAAACGAATACCAATAAAATGATATTCAAGTTGTGTCTCATTCGACGAAACGTTTTATGATTGCATGGCTTTGTAAAATCTTCAAGATATGTGTAATCATGTCTGAAAATTTCAATTTCAAATGATGTACTAGAGAAACAGTCGTCTATTTAGGTTCATGTATCACAGAGACTGTGACTATGTTGTGCTGGATAAGTGTTCCAGAGGTAGTGACTATTGCGTTGTCTTTTTAGCTGTATATGTCACAGAAGCTGTGATGTATCATATTGTCTCTTTAGCCGCATGTGTCACTAAGGTTGTGCTATATCGTATTGTCTCGTTAGCTGCACGTGTCACCGAGTCTATGCTATATCTTGTTGTCTCTTTAGCCGCATGTGTCACTAAGGCTGTGCTATATCGTATTGTCTCGTTAGCTACACGTGTCACCGAGTCTATGCTATATCTTGTTGTCTCTTTAGCCGCATGTGTCACAGAGGCTGTACTATATCGTATTGCCTCTTTAGCTTCATGTGTCACAAAGGTTGCTGTATCGTGTTGTCTCTTTAGCTGTATGTGTCACAGAAGCTGTGCTATATCGTAATGTCTCTTTAACTGCAAGTGGCATAGAGGCTATGCTGTATCTTATTGTCTCTTTAGTTGTATGTGTCATGAAGGCAATGCTTTATCGTATTGTCTCTTTAGCCGCTTGTGTCACTGAGGTAGTGCTATATTGTGCTCATTCAATTCGCCGTTCAGTTATTACAGTTCCACATTATATGTCATGGTTAGTAATTCGCCCGCAAGAGACCCAGATTCATGCTTGGATAATATAGGCCATTCGAGTGGCCTGAATGCACATGTATACAATTGTTTCAAAAGTAAATAAAAACGACGTTAGCTACTACTGGCTTGAGCACTAAACTAGGTAAAACTTCGAACACTATCATCATGACCTAGACCTAATATAAACATGAAGTTCAAAGTGCCAGAAGAAAACATAAATACGTATTGAAAGTGGATTATAAAGTAAATACGAACTGTATGTGAAACAAGAAGCTATGCGCCGCTTTTTATGTCTTCCTTCTTATTCTACAGTGTAGAATTTACACTAAGCAACCAGTTCTTGTTGTGCTGGTAAGTGTTGTGTACTAAATTAGCACATAAATTCAATACGGTTAATTTAATTTTAAGCATTTTGGAAATTATGTATGTACAATTTTATTCAGCAAGCACAGTTTGAAAAGTACGAACATTTTCATTTTCCGAAACAGTTTAGGAAGAAGTTTATTTTACAAGATTTTGGATTTGCTGGTGCTGTTATAAACCAAACTAATGCCAAAGTCTTTATTCTTTTCTGCTCTCCCCCCCCCTCCCCCAGTGGATCAGGAGTTGATCTGAATGCTTATAACTCTAAAAACTGGGCTTCGATACCCATGGTGGAAACAACACAGATTGCCGATTGGACCATTGTATAGCTTTGTGCTTAATTACAAACAAACATTTTTATCTATTTTTTTCTAAAACGGATAAAACACAGCACGTTTGGCTGAAATACAAATAGTAGGTTTGATAACTTAACTGACTTCAACTGCCTATTGAAAGTAAGGGAGATGACGTTTCGGCTTCTATATTTTCTTTCAATAGGCAGTTGCAGTCTATTAAAGTTGTCATACCTACTATGTCTAGTCTGCCTAAAGCATGGGTTCCAAACCAGGGGTGCGAAATGAAAGTCCAGGGGGTGCGCGGAAGAGGCCTACACAAGGTCCGTTTTCCTCCAACTGTCACCAAGAGGAAATGACTAATGCTCACTTTTTAGGGGAGGGGTGCGAGGGCCACAAAGAGTTGGGAACCACAGGTCAAAAGTTCCAATGAAATACAAATAAATCTTGTAAAGCTAAATGTAATTGTTTTTGTGTTTATAAATAGCATAAACAAAATTAATTAGCTTTCGCTGACGTGTTTTTTAAATAGCTAACTAGATTGATAGAAGAGGAAGCTCAAAATATTATCTAAGAAAATATATTCAATTCTGTACCCCTTTTGTTTTTTAACGTTGCCAGAGGACGTATTCAAGCAGGAACCGGTTTGCCTTCATCCCACACTGTTGTGACACTACCTTTCTGAATCGGGTCGGCACGCGCCTGGGGTGGTACTGGTTTATTTACGTGCCAGTTTCACAGCATGCGTTGAGCACAAAGTTGTCGCAGTAGCTAAGCCACTTTCTGACATTCTTGTTAGGAGAAGGCCCAGATTAAGGTCGTGCTAGTACTAATAGCCTCGTATCACACATAAATTTTATTCGAACGTAGAAGGACATTCAATTTCTCCTAATTTCTTGTGAGAGTTGTCTATGTCTTTCCCTATATATACATATAATATATCACAACTCGAAGCTCACCAAACGCAGCTACTGTGTTTCTCTGTATCCTGTTTTCGGACATAAGCTGTCTAGTTGATCTAACATCCACTAGATGGCATACGACGGAGCCAAAAATAGCTTTGTTTCCATGCTGTTTGGCAATGTTGTTTACACACTTTATATTTTTTGCTTAGTGGTTGGTGAACACAGAAACTTCAGTAATAATTTCAACCAGTATATTGTCATTTGAAATAATTAGATCAATAGAGTGGCTTTAGTGTGCCCACACTTATCTTTCACGAACTTTATTTGTTTGTGATTTTTAAAATAATATGTTTTTCAGCCAAGCATGATCATTTTTTTCCTAAATGTAGTTAACGAAATTCTATAAAACACACAAAAATATCAATTTTATTTTTGTAAAAGCGTGCTTTTTTAATATTATTTTTTAACACTATATTTGATATCCATTTTGAAGGCACATCGATAATTGTGCTTAAAGCTGGTGAGGTTGTATAAATGTTATAGAAACGAGTTAAAAATAAGTACTACTGCTGAATAATTTATTTCTCTCTGGCCAGCCATGACTCATTGATTAGCATACCGGACTGTGGATCCGAGGGTCAATTGTTCGTATCTCGTTACCGCAGGAAAAAACAAATATCACCATCCGCAACGTGGGGTGGTTAGGTGCGTTATAAAGGTGACGGTCCAACCACACTATTTGGTGAGACAAAAGTAGCCCAAGAATTGGCGGTGGGTGCTGTTCACTACCTGCCTTCCCTCTAGTATATCACTTCTAAATAAGAGGCGGTTAGCACAGTATTTAAGTAGATTTACGCAAGTATCCGAAAACAAACAAATAATCATTTCTCCAGCATTATTCAAATTTTTGTAATTAATCCAATGTTTATAAAGGTACTTGAAGAATAAAAACCGGAAATATTGTTACAGACAGTGTTTTTCTATGATATAACAAATGAATTAAATTAAATTGAGTATTGGGAAGTGATACAGCTCTTAGACTAAAACTACAGATTTAATTTTGTCGTCGATCAGAAAAAAATCATTTCTGAGAGCCGACTGATTTATAGCTGTGGGCTCTCAGCATTTGGGTCAGAATCTGAATCTGATTTAATGGTAGCAACCTTCAGTTTAGGTTATCCAACGAACCGGTGTGGTCTTTATTTTATGTATATCTTCTCGACAGCGTTTATTATACCAGTCCTGTAGCAATTAATTATCTCGAAGTTCCGCAACACGTGCGTAAAGTACTTCAGCGTGACAGAGGGCGCTACTGCTGCTTGGCTTTGGCACGTCGTTGTCTGACGAGTAGTTGAACTGTCAGACACTTGGAGGAGAGAAGAGGAAAGGGAAGTGACTTGCGAAACTGAATGTGGTTTATCGATTTTTTCCCCCCATAAAGCTTCGAAGTTAAGTATATTTGAGTTAGGCAATATTTTAACATACTGAGCCGTGGAAATACCTTATTCTTTCTTCCAGGTGGATGCGACAGGACCGTTGGTCGATGAACCAAGTGCATGATGACCTTAGTGCTACCAGCATTTTGTAGTAACTACCCGCCTAGCCTAAACTCTTTCGTCTCCCGTGAGAATACAAGTATGCCTTGTGGTTTTGACAGCGAACCTTTGGACTTTGAGTCTGTGTTGTTCTCAGTCGAGTGGCCATCGTCGTTACGTGATGTGACCGAGTCAGCTCAGGACAGTGACTTACAGAAAATTACCCCAGGTAAGACGTTTTGTAATTTACCCACAAGACTATTAGTAATATGAGAAAAGGTATTGTATTTCGTTTTAACTAAATGAGATGGCACTATTAACTCGCTAGATGTAATGACTACTTTGCATATAATCAGTTTACTAGAATACTGTTTCAGTGTTTGTGCTAACATTCCTTTGCTTATTTTGTATTGTTTTTGTATAGAACTGTTGTTAGGTTCAAATGGATAGGTGAATTGCACATATATAGTTAATAAATGTTGCTCAGGGAAAATACGCATTAGATAACCAAGTGTTTTATCTTTGCAAATAAGGAACGGTAAAATAAGCATTCTATAATTAAAGAATAGTGGTGTAAGTAATAAAATATCCCATCTGTCGAAACATGTCCTCTTACGGGTTGACCCGGATTGTCGTACATTTTAGCACACAGCCAATGAATCTGTCTCTCAGTAAAATACAAGAAGTATTTTTGATTGCGAGGATTAGGGTGCATGTCTTCAGTGATAAGAACTCTCGATCTTATTCCGTGTGTGGTCGAAAATGTTGAATGTATATCTTTACAAACCGTGTATATAAAATTAAAGGCAATGGTGGCGATAGCTCAAATCGGAATAAGTTTATTACACACATTACTGGATTGTTCATCATAAATCCACGTGGCACGTGAATAACTCGTCCTCAGGAGAAATGCATTGTTGAATGCTCTCGCACTTCCTGCCTTAATACGTCAGGTGATTGGGTTAACTACATCAAAATAAAGTAAACTCGTACCACAAAGGTTTTCCTGCAATTGACCCGTGTGTAACCAGTCAAGTAGATAGCGTTAGTATGAATAACTGTTATATGTGCGCACATAAAGAGAAATGTTTGTTTACAAAAAAATGGTACTTAATATATGTAACCTTCGTTTCAAGTTTAATATATTCTAGTATAATTGGGGTATTTCTCGAGTCCTGATTAACACTTCGACATTCAGGTGATCAGCGCGGTCTCGTTAATTAGCGACAAGACATTTGTTTTCAACTTTGCGTATTTCCTACAAGTTACAAGAAATGCCGTGTAAGAAAAATTAAGACCTGTAACGCCCAAATTAGGTAACGTTTTCAGGCGTTGCATTTGATGAAAAACGTAATAAGAAAAAATTTGTTTTATTTTTTTTTTGTCCCGGTGCCTCTTCGACCTCAAAAATATTATCCTCTTCAGTGTACCTATTACTATTAGAGGTCAGACAATATGCCTAGTTTCCACCCACAGGTGTTATTTAAATACCTTACACCCTGAACAACTTACATATACACCCCCTAGCGGCGTTATAGTTGTGTTAAATAAAATATGACTTCGTATTTTTTAACAAATGCTTTATATAGGAATAGTTTATTCTGTGAATAATTTTAAAGAGAAATGAACAATTCTAGTAAGAGCGATATATTAACTTAGATTAATTTATTAGTTTTGATCTATGCAGGTAGCTTGCTTTGATCACACGTTTTAGGCACACACACAAAGACTCGTATGGTATTTATAATGAATGCAATTCCTATTTTTCTTTATAATAACTTATTTTAAATATGCGTTAGTACTAAAGTAACAGCAATATACAATGCTGTATGCATATTAAAAGTTTGTTTTTCAGCTACACAGTTGTCTCATTCATCCCATTAACAGCAACATTCAATCTAACAAGTTCATGATGTTGATCACACTCAATTTAAAAGTTAATAAAACACCTTGGGTACAAAACTAAGAAATGTTTAAGGTTTTATACCTCCTCATTCCTTTATTTTTCTGTTTGTTTCTAAAATTTAACCAGTTTTTTTTTCCTTATTCAGCAGCATTTAAAGCCATAAATTAAAAACTTGTAATAGTTGGAATGCAATGATTCATAAGATGGGTACCCTTTCTAGTGTTAACAAGATTTTCGATCATATTACGAGTTTCAGCTAGCTTGGGATATTTAGGTTAGTTTTAAATTCCACTACTAAATTAACAATACAAAATAATCAAAACAATATATATATATTGAACATTGGAATACTAGTGTTAATGAAACATTAAAGAAAGAATAATATAACTTACCTACAAAGCATATAAATGTTTACTTCATGCACTAGATATCATCTATTTCTAGTTCATTGAATAGCGTGACACCAGTGTTAGTGAAATTTTGTATAAACCTCTACGTGTAGCGACCAATGAAAGCCCAATATGGTAACTTCATAGTAGCTTAACGCTCAGATACATTACTACGGCACGTATTACTCTTTTGATATAGCCAGATAGCAGGACGGTACAGATAGTACAACAACAATAAAAACAACAAAAAAAAAACTAAAGATTATGAAAGAAAAATTAACGAGTGACATGAATTACAACGTCGTGCAATAAATTAAGCAGTAAAAATATTAATATTCCAATTTAAATAACTTATTGTAATAAATAGAGAGAAAATTACTAAACGTAGTCTGATACAATTAATCTGACTTTAAAGTTTAACTATTCTCTACATACACGGTCAATTTACTGAGCGGGTAGTAAATAAAGTTAACCCTAAGAACTACTCGAAATGCATGAGCTGTTATAAAATACAAGAATTATTAAAGTAATATTAATAAAGACTTAAACAAAGAAATAACAACAATAATAAATGTGATTGTTACAGTTACAAAAATAATGTAACTAAACTAATAACGTAGTGCTACGCTGTGTAAGAACTATTACGATTACATGATTTGCATTAACTGTAGTGAGAGTTTAAACTAACTGTGGCGCCATATTATATTTATTCGTAACTACCATAAAAAGTTAGTTGTGAAATTAAGGTGTAGACTATACAGAGTTCAAAACGTAGTGATATTCTGGACAATTATTAATCGGTAGAGAAAAGATTGTTGACTTTACCATAAAGTTGAATGAGTCTGGTGTTCAAAGTGTGGTAGGGGAACCCCGTTGTTGAAAAAATGAGTTTGTTCTGTCGACGAAATCTTGTAATGCTAAATAAAGTCTAATAAGCTTTGAGTAGAAAACATTATAGTATAACTTAGCATAGATTTGTATTTAGAAATTGAAAAATGTATAGCTTCAAAGTCTGATTTGAACGTGTTGACTGTATTAGGCTTTGTTTGTAGTGAGGCAGTTTGTACGATTTCTTATTTCCAACGAATGGTATTCAAGTTGAATAAATATAAATCTGAAACTTGTAGTTTGAGGTATCGCATGGTAACCGGACACCTAATAATATTAGATGGATATTAAAACTTCGCAACATACTTAAAATACGTATAATGGAGTAAATTAAACTGGTAATATAGTA